AGAAAATGAAGAAAAAATAGATTAAGACTCTTTACATAAGTAAACCAAGTTTCTGCCAAGTTTTAACTCACCTATAAGCTTGGGAGGGGTTCTATCCTTCTGTGTCTCAGTGCCTAGTCCTCTTCAACTGAAACAAGGATGGAGGGTCTGAGGGGCAAAAGTCGTGGTCAGGCAGTACTTGTCCAATTACGGTTTAGGTAACTTCTCCATTTTGTGGGTCTCAGGTGTATCATGCAGTTTAATGCAGTACAGGTCTGAGTATGATAGTTTGGGACTTTCTTTTCTGAAAATTATGCTATCCAAAAAGTCTTCTGAAGAAGGGAAGCAAACAAAGCAGAAGACAGGACAGAGGACTAGTAGAAACAAGGGGGCCAAATGCACAAGGTAAATGAAGCGAGGTCCTCTGAATCTCCTGAGTCGTGACATCTCTCTCTTCCCCCACTTCCTATTTCCTGAAGCCATGCCTATTCTTCCTGTTCACTTCTCTCTTCTCTTCATTCCTACTGAGGAATGCTTTCTACTTCATTATCTCCACAGATTTTAACTTTGTTCTTCAGTCACTTTGTAAGCATACACAACATCAATATGTTGCATATTAATACAGCTTAGCCAGTTTCTGAAATTTCACACCTTAAACTCTCTCTGAATGCAGCACTAGAGGCGTAGATGCACACTGTCTACGGTTTCCCTCTCTGCTGCATGGAATGAGCTGAAAATGGTGTTGGTGTACTTTCACAACTTCTGTACAGCTGGGAATTTAGGGACACACATGACAAGGTGAGGGTTTGGCTTCTGAAACTTATAAATTAATGTGGTTATTAGCATTGCCAGTAAAGGCAGTTTCTGTAATTTATAGTTGTGCTGTCACGTAAGTAATACTAAATTAACTAATATTTGTGTGAGGGTTCTCTGACATATGAATAAAATGTTACCTTTATAAAACACGTAAAACTCTAGTGGATACATGAATGAATTATCATTTTGTAGGTGCCTTTAGATAGTAAAAAGGTAGCAGGTTTTTTTCTGATTCTTCTTTTTGTTGTCCTGACAGTACAAACAAGTGGAACAGTACATGTCATTCCACAAGTTACCTGCTGAAATGCGCCAGAAGATCCATGATTACTATGAGCACCGCTACCAAGGCAAGATCTTTGATGAAGAAAATATTTTGAATGAGCTCAATGATCCCCTCAGGGAGGTAAGATTAAAGTATTTGAGTATTTATTCATGGTACAGAAAACTTTCATGTCTCTGCTGTTTCTGTGTTGAAATGATCTTTCTGATTCTAGTCTGTAACATTTAATGTAATTTTGCCTAATGAATGGCCAGGAGAATAAATTTTATATTAGATCAACACAAAGAAATAAGCATATTTACACTCTGTTCTGAACCAGGGTGTCATAGTCACTGCTACACAAGGATGACAAAGGGTAAAATCCCATCCTTAACTGTTGAGAGGAACTCATGATTCTCTGCCATTCTTTAAAACAGAGAGGGGCTGGGCTGGAATGGTACTGGGTGAAAGTTTTTTTCTGCTCTCCCTACATGCTAACCATGCATCTGTGCAGGTGAAACTACTGAAAGCCACCAGGGAAGGGAGAGCTGCTTTGTTTCATTCTGTGAAGTAGCATCCTTGGTTAATATGGTCCTTACTTGAGATGAGGAAGCTGGAATATGATATACAAGCCATGAAAAAAATCTAATTTGTTGAAACCCTAATCTGTATTCCAGTTTGGGGGGTTTTATAGTGTTCTATTCTGTTCTGTTATGTTATGTTACATTACATTATGTTGTATGTGGAAGCAGCTGGAATTTTCGTTGGCAAGGTGCTTGTGTGGGAGGAAGGCAGTGTTCACCTTGCTGTAACCAAGGTAGCTGCTTAATGGGAATATAAATCTGACTGTCTTCTCTTGGGTGGTGCTCATGGCTGACCTATTCAAGGATGCTTGTGTTGTCAGTTGACTGATACCCTGTACCGAAAGGAGGAAAAAAAAAAAAAAAAAAAAAAAAAAAAAGCAGGAGAAGAATGAAGTTGAGAAATTCAGAGAGAAGAAAGCAGAAACAAAGAAAAGAGGAAAAAAAAAACAAGGAAAGGGGAGAATAAAGAAGGAACAGCCTGATAACGTGATGCAGCCTGTGTAATTTTCAGTGATACCAAGTAACGCTTTTTAGTATTCTCTGCCATGGGAAGAGTGGTGCTGAATATATGCCTGTGTGTGTCTATGTGTATGTATATATATGTAATATATATTAAAAACGTATATATAACACCCAACAGAGAGGACAGGATGACATCTGTAGTTTTGGAAAGATATGTGAAGGTTGGGGGTTTTTTGTAACAAGTTTTGTGGCATAAGAAGAGCATAGGTCTGTGATGGATTGTCTGTACCATTGAATCCTGCTCTTTTTTGTGAAAGGAAAACATGTCATACAATCCATGGACAAAATCAATCAAGTTCCATATTAAAAATAGTTATAAGAAACAATCCCTTTCCTGTGCATGGGCTCCCTCCTTACAAACTGCCAACTGGGAAATGGTGAACGCTGCCCAAAACTGCCGGGTCATTACTAGATAGTTCAAGTCAAAATCAGGCCAAACCACATTTGTTCTAAAAATTTAACAGTACAGATGACTGAATTCCAGTGCCTGGGCTCATTTAATTCCCTAACATAGAGGTAGCTTGAGTCCTTTCATTATACTGTGAATTTGTAAGTGTTCTGGAGGGCAGGTGGAGGGCTCTGACTTCTGCACTGCCTCTGCCAGTCTACCCTGTGGCTCCCCTCGGTAGCTTTTGAAATGTCAAGAAGAGAATGTACTATAAAAATCTCTCAGGTAGGACAGGAAAAGTGTAGGAATTATCCCTAGAGTACAGTGACAGTCAAAACATGAATCCTGGCCAGTATGGAGCCTTTGTTTTGTTAAAAGAAGAGAAGCATGTACAGATGCATCAGTCACTGACATCAGAAACAGTTTCATCTATTTCCACTTTTAAGGAAAGCATTTCTCCATAAATGAAGTCTAATACCCTTCCATTGCAAAGTATTCTTTTACTAACAGCAGTTTGCAGTTATGGCACTCTAATTACCTGTCTTTTCCTCCTTTCCTTCCTCCTTCTTATTTCCTTGCATCCTCCCTCCCCCACCTAGTCCTGTCCCCTTTCCTACCTTTTTTCTTATTGCTTAAGAGCAGCAAGGGAAATTTGGTCAAGCGTAAAAAACAAAAAGCACTTCTGGGGAGAGATCAAGCATGGAAAATTTCAAAAATTAATGAGCCACTAAAAACATGGAGTAAGAATAGAATTTCACAGAAGGAGTGGCTTCTGGTTTTGCTGTGATCATGCTGTACTTAGCATGTCTTCTTTGTTCTCTGTATTATATAAGAAAAATGTATTTACTCAGCTACAACCAGGTTGCACACTGCCCCAATGACAACACAGTAGTTGTTCCAGAAACAGATTTAAAAAAAAAAAAAAAAAAAAAAAAAAGAAGTAACAACTGGACAGTGGCAATGCCAGAACAGGTTTCCTAACGAATATGTTCAAATTCTGGCAGCAGCTCCTGCACTGTGCTCTGGAAACACCACATGGGTGTTTGCTTAGATGAGCAGTTTCAAATTCTGTTTTAGCTACCACTTCAGTATGTGCAATTTGGTAGTGCAGGTAATAGCTCTTTGATGTTACTAAGGGATAATAAATTATAGCCTTTTAAAGGCAGAACACAATTGTTCCCATATTGGATGGGATATACTGTCTTTCGTGCCAATAACTGCACAAGACTGTAATGTCCAGGTGATAGCACAGATATCCTAGCTGAATCATTCAAGAATAGATATTTACTGCATTTCTTAAGTTTTTAATGAATCCTGCATTTTATTATACTTTGAGTTTAGCATAAGGTCAGAATTAAACATTCAGAGTCTCCACAGGGCATACTTAGCTTGATGAAAGTAGCTTCTGATGAAGACATTCAACTGAAACCATTATTTCCTCATTTACAGGAAGCAGAACAAAAGAAACCACACAAACTACATAATTATAGCATGAATGTGATCAAATGTTATAAAGAAAGTTGCAGTGTTTTCAGTTCTTGTTCTCAGCCATTCAAGTTTACTGTATGGGCTGAAATTTTTCACAGCTAGGCTCTGTTTTAAGAGTGATAACCTTTTTTTGGTCCATATTTTAGAATTTTGGCTCACTTTTTTAGCAGCAAAGTAGTTATGCATGACATAAATATGATAAATCAACCATTAAAAATAGCTAAAGGACATAGAATTATCAGCAAAAACCTGGTGTAAGATTAATTCTTACAGATAAATACTACTAATAAAGCTCTATATGCTTACAGTAGAGGTAAAACTTTTTTGGTAAAAGAGGATGGATGTTCATTTTACTAGGCTTCTGAAAATTATGTATGGAACATTCATAGTAGATTGGATGATTAAAATAATGAAAAGCTAAGACAAGCTTTGATGCATATGTGTGAGTGGTTAACTTTGTTGTGTATCAGAAATAGTCATGTTTATTGTGGAGAATTAACTAGGGCTTCATAAAAAAGGGAAAATAAGAATCCTGAACATTTTTAAATTTTACAAGGCTCTCTCTAGGTGCTTCATAGCTGAGTAAAGCAACTGGTAGCTGACCTTTATTAGTCAGGATAAGCTTGTATTAGTAACTAGATTCCCTTCAATGAGTGGGAACTAAAAAGTAGACAATTACTAGAAAATGGGACTTAAAAACTTTATATGCTCCCCAGTTAAGTTAGTTGCACAATTTGGGTGTATTAGTCCCATGGTAATGTAGTTAATTGGATATCCTCAGCTCTACACACTGAAACTGAATTAACTATGTGTTGCCATACGTGGTGTGCTACTACCTGCTCGTAAGGAAAGGTGCTCTGTGATGAAAGTAAAGAATTAAAGGTTTCTTTTCATTCAATTCAGAAATTTTACTCTTACTGAAAAGTGTATCCTCTTTTTCACAGTTAGACTTTGACAATAACTGGCCAGCCTTCTTGAGAATCAGATAGCCAGGAGACTCCTGGAAGTTACAATTTCAGTACAGGTGGAAGATTTTAAATGGCTTCTTCTGGGCCATGCAGGGTTGGATTTACCAAACCTATCTACAGCTCCTCAGAAGTTCTGCAACAAGCCTGAGCTAAGCATCAGGCTCTCTCTGCACATACCATTCCCCCCTGCGCCTCTCACTGTAAAGAAAAACTAGCTGACTAGCTTAGAAAAAAGGCTGCACCTTCAAACAGCACTTGACATGTGAAATAAATTCTACCTTTAATGGCATTTGCAATTAACTATCTCCCTCCCTCATTTCTAGAGGTAGTAATTACTAATTGGTAGCAATTAGCATGTTTCTTTTGTATAAATATAATCTCTGGTTCTTCAGCAGACAGAGATACTTGTGAAGTTTTCTAAAGTTCACATTTTTAACTCTGAGTTCTTGCCACCCATATGCTTGAACATCATTTGGCATCAGAAGGCTCTAGGCCCAAAAGTGGTCTTTGTAACTGACATGACATAAAATGGATGAGGGTACAGACAACAAGAAAAAAAAAAAAGAAAAAAAAAAAAAAAAAAAAAAAAAAAAGAAAAAAAAAAAAAAACAGAAACAAATAATCTCACATCTAAGAGAAATCTATTCTGAAAGGACACTTGAATTACAAAAGTTTAAAGACATATACGTAAGCAGTTTCATCTAAGAAGAGAGTGTAAGGAATGTCAAGGTGGCTCAGCTCTGGTGTTTGTCAAAGCCACCAACCTTGCCAGCAGTGGCTGTAGGTGGATGCCCACAGAAGAATGAGAACAGGGCAGGTATGTTATTTCCCTTAATGATTCCTAGACTCCCAGACTCCCAATATTTTCAGTTCAAGGGATTCTCTGAGACTGTGTCTACTGAGAGATATGTATCTAAGAGATAGATATTTCTTCCAACTGCTTGTTTACACTTCTCTTGAATGCACATACTCTCTCTGCAGACCTGTACCCTGCTCTATGAGAAACCACCTCCTAGTTTTGGGATTGAACCTGGCTTCTACTGTTTTTTTTGGTTTTGATGGACGTTAATTCTTGTAGCAAAAGTGATAGCACATTCAATTCCTACCAACCCTTCGTATGCCAGTTATGATTTTGTAGACTCTTATGATAACATCTGTAAACTATTTTTTTGATGGTAGAGAGACCTATTCTAC